ACACACACACACACACACACACACACACACACACACACACACACACACACACACACAATTCTATCCCATTTTATTCTTTAGAAAAGAGTCATAAGAATTGTGAAAAAATGTACTTTTAAAAAGCAACAAATTCACTTTTTGATTAATACATTCAAGTTTCAATCTTTTGTGGAAATATCTAAAATGGATGGAGAAGAAAATCAAATATTTTTTATTTCAGAGGACAGTTTTTTTTTCTAAAGCATCGTGTTGGATATGCTGTCAAACAATGGTGTTTTAGTGATGAAAGAATATAAAACATGAAGAACATTAAGAAATCTTAAACAATTATCTGAGTCATCAATAAGTACAAGTAGTTAATACTCATTCTGTTTGTTTTCTGTTTTAATGATTTTACTCATGATCACAAATGTATCATAGGTTTTGATTTCTTCTATATACAACCTCATGGCAGTACAACCATGTGGTGTTCTCTGAGCAGCACAGTGCCTTGTGTCCAGTTTATGTCTGACATGTTTGTCTGTTTCTGATCTGCAGGATGTTGTTGCTGAAGAGCCTGCAGAGCAAGCTGCTGTTATGTAAGCTGTTGGAACAGTTGTTGGACTATGCATGTCCGCAGAAAATCTCTGTGCCCATGTCGCTCAGCCGGCTGCTGCACTTTCTGAAGAACTGCACTCTGGCACCAGACCCAACGGTGAATATCAGACATCATGCGGATTGTCTTCATTTTCTATTTTATTGGCAGGAAGTAATTGTAAGGTATCGTTACAATTTAGATTTTGACAATCAACTTTGTCAGGAAGCTGTTCTTTACTGGTAGAATTGTTTTTGTTTGGTAGAAAACAACTTGARATGTAAAGAAAACAAAAGCAAGCCCGTGTTCATCGCAACTGATCCGTGAATGTTTTTGTCAGGATGGGACTGAAAGGTGGCAGAGGTGGGAGGAGTTGATCCACCTCCTCTGGATGTTGCTGCTCAGCTATAACAACGCGATGAAAGGTGAGCTGGTGGTAGAAAATCATGTAGATTTCTGAACTGTATTTGACATGYGCATGTGTGTTATGTAAGCCAGGCTAACCTAACCAGGCAAATCCCYTTCTCCATTGAGATGTCGTTTTTGACTTTATAGTAGATGCTGTTTCTGCARTTGGGAGAATTACACAAATTTTGGGGCACTGGTTCTCAAGTCCCTTTTACACAATCGGAGTGCAGCAATACTTTGATCCACATTTATATATTGATTAAAAGATTATTGATTCAGTCACATCAAAGCAAAACAAAAGCAATGTGAATCAAATCCCCATCTATATCCCCATCTAACACAATGATTGTTTTAGATGGGGATATGATATTGATTATATGTCCCATCATGTGTCGCATCATATAAATTGCAGACTTGTGAACTGATTTGACTGTAAATCTTATTGTGACAGACATTGTGATATCGAGAAACATCATATTGTCATCCAAACAAATGGATATAATATCGTATTGTGATAAAGCTGGTGATTTACACCACTATCACAAAAGATGGCCTTTGCAGGTTCTTCTGATCTATTAGAACATGTGTCAAACTGGAGGCCCGCGGACCAATGTGGCCAGCTGCTGCGTTTTATATGGGCTGTGAGAGCTTCAAAGTTGTTTTAATGTCTTAAAATAAAAGTATGCTGCTTTAAAACCAGCATTGACCATAAACTGCATGTCCCATAATGCTATGTCGATTATTTTACCTGCAAAATGATAATATCCCACAACTACGTGGAGGTGCACAGGGTTCAAAATTAGTTAGTAGCTGGCGAAATTCACCTTGCAAAATCTCTATTTTGCTGCATTTTTGCTGGCTACTTTTTCTGCAGCCCAGTTGTAGTGGGAAGTGGGAATTTCCCATTTACAAGTTGTAAATTTAAACTTGAATGCCACCTCCAGTGGGAATTCCCTGTTGGAAAGTGAGAAATTTCAGAATTTAAGACCGTAGTTACCCGCCACAACTCAACATAAAACATCCCAAACATCATCTTTTATTTTTACTTTTAATAGTATATCTGTATTTATTCATGTGTAGTCCAGTGTACAAGTAGTACTTTTCAGTATTTACAAAAGAACTTGTGAAAACACTGTTTCTATGCACAAAATACCACGTAGAGCTCAGTTATTGTTTGTTAGCGGTGCTCAGCTGTAGCAATGAGACGTTTGTTCGGAATGTGACGTTTTGTGTTTGGTTAAAGTTAAACACGAAACATCGAAGTTTATTACAACTGGCCCACTGAGGGCTACTGTAATGCTCATGCAGRCCTTGGTGAAAATGAGTTTGACACCCCTGTACCAGAACATGGCTGGATTGCAGCAAATAAAAAAAAAAGAACTACTTTAGTGTAAGCCATTGTGAGTCYTCATCAAGTGTGTAGAGAACCCAAGTTGACTGCTGCTAAAGTGGATCTCAGTTTGTTTTATGACTGATAAGAAGCAGATGTCCAGAGAGCAGGCAGCCCCCTCGTCCTCCTCTCCTCACCCGAGGCTGAGGGAGAGTCAGGCTGTGGAGCTAAAGTCTTAAAAGCTCGAGCTGCTGGTTCAAAGGTTGATCCATCGATAACATGAAGCCTTGRATTGCTGAGGCATTGTGTGTGAGTGTGTGTGTGATTGTGTTCAAGTGATGTTAGCCGCTAACATGCTAATACGAAGCTGTATCATGCTATATTAGCTGTTCCAACCCCTGACTGCTGCAGGGGCGTGTCTTAGAGGCTTTTATATCAGAACACGGCCGCTGTGGCGAAACCGTGGAGAAGACACGTCATCGTGGAGAGAGAGAGCCTTTTAACCAATGCATAAATTAGACTGCAGTACCACTGCTCAACCCATAGTATACAGCAAAAATACATTTTTAGACCAAATATTGCAGATTTGAACAAAAACATCAAAATTAGCACAGAAATAGTACTAGATAACATTTTAGCCACATTCTAGGTAGTTTTTTTTTTTTGTTTTACTGTTGAACTTACGCCATATTTTTCTCWCCCGCATTCATTATGCTTTTGTGTATTATTGTATATTTTGAACTGCACTGACCTTGTGTTTGATTTACAATTTTAGAAATTAATTTCTTGATTTGATGTTTCAATTTTCGTTGCTTATGTGTAATCATGTTTTTCTGTTTCATTTTATTCTTTCCACCATTTTTATACTGTTAATGATTGTACAGCACCTTGTGAATATATTTATGTGAAAGGCGCTTTATAAATAAAACTTTACTTACTTTATCAACTAAAAAAATAAATGTTGGGGTAAGTTACCCTTTAAGTACTTCACATTACAAAGATACATTTAGTTACAGTACTTTTTTTTTCAAAGCACAATTAATTTACTTTGAAATAAACAATCTGCCACCTGTCATTCACAGGCTATTTGAGCAGCTCTTCCACAGAACGACGAGGCAAAGCCAGCACATTAGTTTACAAGCCAGAGGACATGGTGACAAAACCAGCTGTCCGAGAGGCCGTGGAGTCCTACCTGTCCAGATCCCGGGCTGACCTCGGCCAAGCCTTACCTCTTCATGTGGAAGAGTCTCTATCTTACCTGCAGGATTATTTGCTGGATGTCTGTCAGTGTTGAACCAAAAATAATTGCAGTGTGTTTGGTGTTTACAAGATGTTCTATAAAGTTAATTTTAAAAATAATTTCATGCATTTATTTGTAAAAAAAAATGTTTTGTATGCTTTTAAAAATWTCCTTAAAGACTTTTATTGTTTTATTTAAAAAATGCATTTCCTACTTGCACACTTTAAAGCATTACATAATTTCTTTGACAAACTACACACTGTTTGATTAAACTGTTTATTTTGCTAAATGTGTGTGTTTACTGAACGAGCCCGCCGTCATTCATCAGTCCAGCATTTTATTTTCTGAGATTCAACAGCTGGTTGGACCTTTTAGACGACAACCAATAGGACGGAGCGCTGTTATCGAAAGAAAAAAAACCTACAGTCGCCATGATACAGCAGCGGAAACGGGAAAAGAAGTAGCTAGAAAACAAAAGAGAACACGCACTCGTCCTCGCGATTTGGTATGCTCTTGCAGGTAAAAATAAACCCCTCTCGACAACAACACAGATATTTCCACTCTTCGCATCGAGCTTCTCTTGGATGTAAAAAGCGCTGCTCTTATTACGTGAGTCTGATTTTATTCAAATAGAAAGTCGGTCAGCTTCAAATTATTGAGATGCTAGCTTTGTTGCTAGCAGGCTAACAGAAGCTAAGCTAAAACAGCTCGTGATTGCTCGCGAGCCCAGCGTTTTATTCTGGTTTCATGTGAACCCGCTRGCTGTTTTAATCTCGGGGATGTTAATTCCTGCTGCTAAAAGCTAGCTAGCCGTAGCTCTGAATTGCGCTGTAGTGTGTGGCCTTGTGTTTATGCGCAATTCACTCAGAGCTTTGGCATTATGTAAACAACAAGTGCACATTAATCTGTTTTCGTATCACTTCGTGTGTTAAACTCGTTTGGAAGGACGTGAAGACGGTAACACTGTTAGTGCCTTTCTCTTTACTCTTAGCAATTAAGCTCGAAAGTGATCTGGCTTTGTTATGTAGTTTATTAGCTGCCAATTTTGGTTAATCAGTTATAGAGTTGTCGTGCTAAATAAAACAAGTTGTTCATCTTTAATTCTAATAGCGAAACTGTTAATTTTTGGACGAAATGCTGCTCTTCACGCGGCTGTAAACACAGTTATTCCCCCGGTTTTGACGTCAGTGCTTTCGCTCCAGTACTGTATTTTCGGCAGCAGTGTTTTTATTGAAATGTTTTACTTCCAAGAACATTCTCATGTACAAAGTTTGGATCCGGTTGGGATTATTCCCGATTAGTAGTGATTTGCTTTAATGCTTTGCAGATATATTTAAAACGAGAATAATCTGTGCAGAAACTTCATACGGTTAGAATATGAAAGACAGAGAAACCGAGCCATGAGTTTTTGGCCTGAACTTAGAGGAATGCCTTGCGATTTATAGAATATTGGTATATATTTTATTACGTGACCGCTGACAGTTTTATTACAAATGATCTCCAGTGTTATAGGAATGCCCAAGGAAAAATATGACCCGCCGGATCCCAGGCGGATGTACACAATTATGTCCAGCGAGGAGGCAGCAAATGGGAAGAAGTCATACTGGGCTGAGCTGGAAATCAGTGGTGAGTGTTGTTAAATAATTTGGGCTTTTACAGGTATCTGAGAAAAGCTTGTGGTACAATCTGTTTTGTGGTAAATGTAATGAYGTATATACATGCAGAAATGACTGAAGTGTGTGCAAAATATTCAGTGAGTTAGTAGAAGGCAGCTGCAATGTAATAATTTCTCTTCCTTGAGTTTAATGGCTTTCAGTTGGTGCATCCAGCAGAAGTGGTTCTCTCCTGCCAGCTATATTTAACTGTTAAAGTACWAATGAAACAAGTACTTAATTGCCTGCACCCGTTTATAACTTTTAACCTTGTTTACCTTCTGCAAAACAATTAAATTTTCTTTATTTGCAACTCCACACATGTATTGCACAAAGCGTCGTCACACTAATAAGCATATTGTGGACAACTTGGGGGTTTATTGCTTTGCTCAAAAATATTTTTAAAGCAGAGTGGGATCGACTGTCTATATATATATTTTGTTGCAAGATGATCACAACACCTACTGAGTCAAAGTCACTACAACCATAATTACTGTGGTAATTGCATATTAGCTGTGGGGTGCGGCATACTTTCATTTTGAAACCGATTGCATCACAGCGGCATGACAAAGGCTGCCCCATTTGAAACTCCTCCAAATATTTGTTCAGGTGGTAGAGCTACACTGCATGGATTCTTTATGGCATAGCATAGTGTTTCCCAAAGTTGGGGTCGGGACCCACAGTGGGGTCCTGAAACATCAAGTTTGGGTCCTGAAAATATTGTTTTGAATTAATTACACAAAAAAATACAAGAACATTTTTTCCTTTGTTTTTACAAAATAATAAGATTAGTGTTCTTAAAATGGACAACAATAGCATAATAAATAATGTTACAATGCTCTTGTTTATTTTACATGAAAAAAATGTTTATCAACTGACAACAGGTGTGTGTGTGGGGGGGGGGGTCTCTGCTGCTGGTAGTTTGTGGGTCAAAAGCTGAAAAGTTTGGGAACCACTGGCATAGCATACCCAAAGGCTTGTTGAGTGACTGTTATAATTGTAACACAGAAAACACAACTTAACAGCGAAGAAGAAGTACATTTTTCAAGTCTAGTATTTGGTTCAAGCATTGCCAATGTTCAGATAGCTGGTTGCTAGTTTTTTTATTTTTAATCAAAATGACAAAAAATGAATATTAAATACTAAAAGTTCTCATGGTAATGTCACGTTTATTTCAGTCTACAGCTTAGCTCGTTTTTCATCTGTGACTCCTGCCAACATTTCAAAAGCATCACAGGTGATGTAAACAAGATGTCCTTCAAGACTTAACACTCTGATTTAATCAACGCTTGGTTTGCCTCGAGGAGTTTGCAATCCATGAATTAAGGACATATAATAATAATAATAATAATAATAGAAATTCTTGTTTCAGTACAAAATTGTTTAATTTTACATTTTAATTTAGCTATAATAAGTTATGTTAAAGCATAATATTTAAGTATATTTAAATTTCATTGTTGATTCTTGACGAATACTGCTAATTAAATTAAGTTTAAGTTTAATACCTCTGTAATACCTCTTATTCATTCTCTGCTGAACTGCACAGGTTTTAGTTTAAAACAAAGTAAAAGTGATTAACTATTAATTTTTTCTTTGTTTAGAGTTTGCCTAAGTAGTAGTAAATGGTAAACTAATAGAGGGTTTGTTGGCCAGTAGCTGGATTTTGAGCTTGTGTAATGTTCCTCCAAAAACACAACTTTCCCTTTTTCCAGGTTTGCATGAATAAGTTTCAGCTCGACTCTTTCCTGGAACTTAATAGAACCAGGACAGAACTGCACACAAATGCTTGTCGGGATCGAAAACGGAACAAGCTGAAATTTGTGCTGAGTTTCTTGGTGCTGCACATTAATTAAATTACACGTAAGAGCTAAATTCAGCAGTGTGCTGCTCTCCTGACAGCATCGATGTGTAATCTGGTCTAAAGGGGTACCGGTGTCCGTTTTGACACGTGATTGAATTATTGACATTTGTTTGAAGCTGTAGACTCATTATGGATATTAAAATACTGGTAAAAACTACTCTTAAATAAYTATTTAGTTTTGTGCTTTCTTGTTTTGAAGACCTTAACTTTTATTACTTAATGTGTTATTACAACATTTTTAATTGAGTAAAATAAAGAGTTTTTATAAAGCTAATTAAATTGGTTTTAATCAAGATATTGAAACCTATTTTTATTTATTGTTCATCTGTTTTGAGTGATGGGGAATTATATGTGAACAAGCAGCTGCATCATGTTTATCAGTTGTCCTTCAGTGGTAGTAAATGATGCCTCTTTTTTGTCTTCTGCATTAAAAAAAATAATAATTTATGTCCATCCTAATSAAAATGAAGTCAGTTCATGCATGCTGAACTGTCCATATTTAATTTCTTTTGATTTCATTTCTGCTTTGCTTTTTTCCCTCCTGTCTCTGCAGGTCGAGTAAGGAGTCTTAGCACGGCCCTGTGGTCTCTCACCCACCTCACTGCCCTTCACCTCAGTGACAACTCACTGTCACGCATCCCTCCAGACATTGCCAAACTACACAACCTGGTGTACCTGGATCTCTCATCCAATAAGATCAGGAGCCTGCCGGCAGAGCTCGGCAACATGGTGTCTCTCAGGTCAGTGATTTCAGCTTACACAACGTCATTAGAGGCGAGCTGGAGAAGTGGCTCTCACGGCTTACTCGGAAATGTCATAACAGATCAGTTGAATGACCTTTTTTATGTCACCTTTCAGAATTTTTTTAATTTTATTAATTTTATAGAGCTGCATGACTAATATGTTTTTGAAGCTCTTTTTAACATATTGATTAAAAACGGCGAGATAAATGTTTCTGAAAAGTAATGAAGGCCATGCTTTTTTATTGTTTAGTTTTTAATGACCAAACTCCCACTTGTCCTCCACAGGGAATTGCTTTTAAATAACAACCAGTTGCGAGTTCTCCCATTTGAATTGGGAAAACTGTTTCAGTTACAGACACTGGGGTTGAAAGGTGAGTGCATCTTAGTTTGTTTTGTTTTGTTTCTTTGTTATTATGTTTTTTGTTGGGTTTTTTTCATTATTATTTTTATTTTTTGGATAATATTTCAAGCTGATTTACCTCTTTCCCAGGAAACCCACTTGCACAAGAAATCATGAGCCTCTACCAGGAACCTGATGGTACACGGAGACTGCTCAGCTACTTGTTAGACAATCTGGCAGGGGCTATCAAGCGCAGTAAGTGTTCATCGTCTTCTGCTCCTGTGAGACCAGAACAAGAATTGTATTTGGTCACATTACTGCTTTAAAACACCTGAAAAAAAAAGATAGCTTAATGAGTTCATGGATGGCAAAGTTTTTAATTCAGTTTGTGGGTTGTTAATGTTTTCTTAAAGTACCATTTGACTCTAAAGGTTTTATCAACATTCAGACTGAACCATTTTCTCCTCCTCACAGTACCAACAGAGCAGCCACCAGCTCGGTCATGGATCTCACTCCAGGAACCTGATCGAACACGTCCATCTAGTAAGGGCCACACAAACAAACCCTATTTTCTCATTGATGTTTTGTCTTGTTTTTTTTTTTTTACTTGGCTAGAGCTAAAAGTGCAGGAAGTGTTCTCTTTGTGTCTTCAGCAGCTCAGCACAGGTCTGACGCTGCTGAAATTAATCTGTCAGCAATTTACAGCTGAACGTTGACCTAAATGTTGTCAAATATTTAGCTGTAAAGATGAGTTGTACACAAAAAATACCCCAGATGTTTCAGACAGGACATCTGTAGTAGCAAAAAAAAAAAAAGCTTCACTGTGTGTCTTTACAAATTCATCCTGTCAATTCTGTTCTTAATTACACAATGAGCTGATGTCAAAGGCATTGTTTTAATTTTAAAAGGAAAAAAAACATGATCTTGATTTCATAACCCAAACAATAATAATGTTAATTAGAGCTTTGTTTGGATATATTTAGGATTTTTGCGTGATTATAAAGCTGAAGCTGCAGCAAGTTCTGTAACAAGTTAACAAGRGTAAACTCTGGTACGGATTGCTTGAAGGTTTTCTTCAGAACTGTGGTGTGCTGTATTTTAAGAATTGTTTTTTTGGCAACACTGGACATCTGTTTCCAAGAGCTGCACAATGTATCAAAAATTAATCATCATCACACTTTCATTCAGAAAAGTATCAAAATAGCAAAGGACCGTTCCATGTTTTTCTTTTTTAGATTTTTTTTTTAAATTTTATGTTTTTTTTTTGTCTGCCTTCAGCTCTCTTCTCGGTCATGTGCTACAACGTGCTGTGTGATAAGTACGCCACACGACAGCTATACGGCTACTGCCCGTCCTGGGCACTAAACTGGGAATACAGGAAGAAATCTATCATGCAGGAAATCCTCGGCTGCAATGCAGACATCATCAGTTTGCAGGTAAAAAAATATCAAAGCACAGTTATTTTTTATTTTATTTTATTTTATTTTTTGTGTGTATTAAAAGTATTTTTAACACGACTTACTTAAAGTGGGCCTGTTATGCAAAACTCACTTTTTTCATGTTTTTAAACTTACTTTTGGGTCTCTACTGCTTACAGAAGCAGTCCAAACACCAAAAAAAATGCACCCAGCCGTTTTTTAGCTGTAATTACATGTATTTTTAGGTATCTGGAAACACGGTATTTCTCAAAGCACGTTATTCTGACGTCACAATAGCAGTCACCTAGCAGCCTAAACCAGAGTCCTGCTCCTCACGAGGCAACCCGAGGTGAAGCTCCGCCCACTTCCTCAAAAGACGATAGTTGTGCTGTTTGTACAGCAGCCATGGAGAACAGAGGTGCCTGGATTCATTTTATTTTTATCTTTGATGACAATGTTCTGACAAAATCGCCAAAGAAAGCTGTAGTTTGTGAAAATAATTTCACTTTGGAAACTTCTACCATGTCGGGCGGCGGAGCTAAAGTATACAAACGGATAGGGGGAATAGGGGAGGGGGGGTTTCCATAGCAACTTCTGCATACAGCACGTTCTGGAGAGAGCTGAAGAACAGGAAGAACTGAAAAGGTGAAATTTCATRGTTTGAGATTGTTTTTGTGAATTAAATCAAATGAACATGTTTTGTATAGCCCACAGATGGATCCTAACTTGTGCTAAGACCCCCATAATAGGCCCACTTTAAAATAATCTTTTGTGGACCAGAGTCCACTAGGAAAATGCCTCGCAGGCATTCAGAATCTTTTACATTTGACACTAAGCACAAAGTCTAGCAGAGCAATGTCCAAACAATGTATGTGAACAAGTTTTCAATAGGTTTTGTCGGCACAGCCGCAAGAAAACGTGCGACAACCAGAAAAGGCAGTACAGGTTTTATATATATATAGCTTGTAAAAATACTAATGCAATGACATGAAGCAGGCAGAAAAAACAGGATCACAGTTGACATATCTGGCAACATGATATAGCCTCTTAAATAACCAGTAAAATGGTGCTAAGGAGGTATTTTGACTAGAGCAGGGGTGGTCAGTACTGGTCCTCGAGGGCCGCAGCCCTGCATGTTTTACTTRTTTTCCCTGCTCCAACACACCCGATTCAGTCACTGAATTACCTCATGTTCTGCAGAAGRCTGGTAATCACCCATTCATTCAAATCAGGTGTGTTGGAGCAGAGAAACAAGTAAAACATGCAGGGCTGTGGCCCTTGAGGACCAGGATTTCCCACCCCTGGACTAGAGGCATCACACACGCTTCAGGCAATTGACCATTGTGAAAGAACAAGACACCATTTTGGAAGGGGCGGGTGGTGAATGGAAACAAATGATCAGGGCCAGATTTCTGCACAGAATTGCAAATAAATACATGTTTTTCATGGGTTGGCTTTTGCCTATCAGAAACATAATTTATTTCTATCAAATCAAAATATAGATTATCAACTGCAAACTGAGTTTCATTGATTTGCTGACCTAAATTGAATACATAATGATGACCACAGTCAGTTTTACGACCTAACGTTTGAGTTGTCCTCGCCCCTACCAATATGGCTGCTCACTCCAACTATGAAAATTCACGCTAGCACATCTTGTTCATCTAGAAAGTTCAAGTTTGTCCTGTGTTCAGTATTAGTTTTGGCAAATATTCTGGATTCTATGATAACATGTTGCTGTTATCCATCTAGCTGTTTTGGCTAAATTTCATATGTCACATGTCTTCATATAAATGTTCCATTCACTCTCTCTCTCAGGCAAAAGATTTGCATGCCAGGTCATTTGGTTGTTCTGAACTAGCTGTAGGTGATCTGCTGATCCCACCCCCCCACCTTTCTGCTCCGAACTTAAAACCAACTTGAAGCAATTATTGCTTCTCATGCTGAGAGCATGTTTCATTTTTTACTCACGGGCTAATTATTCTAGCACACGTGTCAGCTCAGCAACAAACTGTTTAAAAGCAGAGAAAGCAGTCTTTTAACAAGTATAATCTCAGCTGCTGCTACACTTCGACTTAAAATGTTGCCTGTTTCATGTTTTTGCTTTAAAATAACTGAGTTCACACAGCTGGGATGAAGACTTCTGTTGAATTAAAGTTCGCTCATCCAGGTTAAAAAAAAACCCTCTAGTGGACCAGAGGCTTTGATTACAGAGATGTAGCACACAATGACAGCCCATAAGCACTATGGGCTGTCATTGTTTGAAAATCCTTGCTCATCTGTAATTTACTAARATTTCCAACATCTTTGTATTAAACTTTGTCTTCTGATTCTTTTATGATCTCCTTTCTACTGTGACACATTTAGCCTCGAAATATAATGTATTTAATTTTATTGAAAAGAAATGTCTGACCTCCGTGCTTTAATTTCTTATTAAGGTTTGTGCCTATAAGTGAGCAGTACTTCACTTTTGGAGAAATATTGATTAGACAGATGTTTGRTTGTGTTGGTTGTTGCACAAACTTTAAATCTTATCGCAGATCTGGCTCTTTCTCCTTGCTGTCAATTACAGGAGGTGGAAACGGAGCAGTACTACAATTTCTTCTTGCCTGAGTTGAAAGAGCAAGGATACGATGGGTTCTTCAGTCCAAAGTCACGAGCTAGAACCATGTCAGAGTCAGATCGTAAACATGTGGACGGATGTGCAATTTTCTTCAAGACAGAAAAGTAAGTGTAACATTAATCTCTTATAAAACTGTTTTCTGTGTCTGGGATTCTATCTTCTTGCGGTCGTGTGTAATTGTTTACTTCAAKGTGTGTTTTTGTGCTTCTCTCCAGGTTCAGCGCCGTGCAGAAGCACACAGTGGAGTTCAACCAGCTGGCCATGGCTAACTCCGAGGGCTCTGAAGCCATGTTGAACAGGGTGATGACGAAGGACAACATTGGAGTAGCGGTACTGCTTGAGGTCCGCAAAGAGCTTATCGAAATCTCCTGTGAGTAYCTTGTGCACTCTGATTTTTAATTTTTTTTTAATTTTGACTGTTTTTTTGCATTTCTAGATTTTAAATTTGTTTTTGGATTATGTTTTACTCTTTGTCTTGTTTGTAATTCTCCACGGTACTTTGGAAGTYTGGTTATTACGGCTCCRGCTAGGGAACATGGGAGWTTTTTTTTTCTTTTGRGTTCCCACGCAAAAGTCATTTATCACTGTTGTGCCTGCCGGTTTATTAACAAACTCACATGTTCACTATTAGCGAGTTTGCCTACTACTTTAATTCAGCTTCAGAATGAATATATCACACAACCAGGCATGGAAGTYTGTCAMATGRCAWATATTTTAACACAGTGCAGCCACACAACATCAATGTCAATTTCACGAACTGTGGCCACACATCCTGTTTTGGTAACTGGATATTTCAAAATAAAACTCWGATTTAATTCAGTTCATATACAAAACAAACCTTTGCGAGGTAACGCAAAGATATTGCGTGGGAACACAAAAGAAAAAAAAATCCCCCCATGTCCCCTCATGGGCTCTGTAGGTTACAGAGGCCTGTGGTGCATAAATAAGAGCTCTGATAAAGAAACACTCGTGATCACTTRTCCCTGATATTTTGTCCCTCCTCTCAGCTGGTAAGTCGCTGCATGGCATGGACAAGCAGCTTCTGCTGGTAGCAAACGCCCACATGCACTGGGACCCGGAGTACTCGGARGTCAAACTAGTCCAYACCATGATGTTCCTGTCGGAGGTGAAGAACATAGTGGACCTTGCCGCACGCAGCTTCAAGCTGTCCACCTCTGGCGAGACCAATGCAATTCCACTGGTGCTGTGTGCTGACCTCAACTCCTTGCCTGACTCCGGTAAGTCACCAGGACTAGTTGTGAGGCTGTGTGCTTTAAAGGGGACCTATTATGCAAAATTCACTTTTTAAAGGTTTTTTTACTCAACATTGGGTATGTACTTCTAAAAAAAAACAGTCCTAGGACCAAAAAAATGCACCCAGGGGCATATTTACTGTAAGTAAATGTATTTTTAATGTATATTAACGACAAGTTTTTATACTTCCGTCATTTTGTGATGTCACAAGCCGTACAACAACCCACCGGAACCTGTGTTTTGCCCCTCAACTAGCAACCCCCGGGTGAGACTCCACCTCCTCAGAATAAAAAGCCGTCACGGCTGTTGTTGTGAAATGTGCAGCTCATTTCATAACAAGCCTTCCAGTAGGGCAATGGGTAGAGTGTTGGACCAAAGAGCGGGACACTAGGGTTCAAGACTGGCACGGACACTATTTAATTATTTATTTTCATTCGTTATGAACACATTTTCTCACGTAGCTCTATTGTTTAGCTTGTTAAAGCCTTGTTAAAGCCTATTTGTTTGAGTTTCTGAGGTATTTTGGCCGCTGCTGCTCCCTGCTCTGGTAACAGCATGCAGAGTGAGCGCAGAGCAGAGGAGGGGGAGAAAAAAAAAAGAAGCTGGGACCACGACTCTGCCTCTGGGTCTCACTCAAGGTCCCATATGGTTGTACAACGGAGCTTCTGCTATTATTAGCCATGCTAACGTAAACGCTGGCTTTGGAGGGCGGAGTTCAACAGATTTTTGGAGAGCGTTACCAACAAAGCTCATTAACATAAATAGCTCTTCTGAACGTAAGTCAGAGCAGGCAGAACTAGAAAATGGGAAATTTTATCATCTGAGAATCATTTTGTGCATTAAATTGAATGAACATGGTCTGGATAGCCCAAAGACATACCATAAACATTTCTAGGACCCATAATTGGTCTCCTTTAACTGCATTTTGTTTTCATTAATGCTGACACTAATGACATCATCTCATCTGTGCGTTCCGTTCAGGTGTGGTGGAGTACCTGAGCTCTGGCGGTGTGGACTGCACCCACAAGGACTTCAAGGAGCTCCGCTACAGCGACAGCCTGACCAAATTCAACTGCAACGGCAAGAACAGCCTGTCCAACGGCAGGATCACCCACGGCTTCAAGCTGAAGAGCGCCTACGAGAACGGCCTGATGCCTTACACCAACTACACCTTTGACTTCAAGGTAATTAGACAAACAGGATAAAGATGGGCGCTCGTGGGTTAAAACAAAGGGGCTCCCCCACTAATCTCTCTTCTGTTCTTAGGGTGTGATCGACTACATTTTCTACTCCAAGCCTCACCTGAACGTGCTGGGTATCCTGGGCCCCCTGGACCCCCACTGGCTTGTAGAGAACAATGTCAGCGGCTGCCCACATCCCCACATTCCCTCTGACCACTTCTCCCTGTTTGCTCAGCTGGAATTGCTCCTGCCCAATGTGCCCTCACAGGTCAATGGGCTTCACCTGCCTGCACGCAGGTAGTGAGACCCTGCCATACCACCAGGGGGAGCTGCAGCCACAGCTCCCCCCGCTCAACCTTATCCCCCTCTTTTTACCAGCTATTCCCTCCCTCCACCACACTGGAGGAGGAAGACATACACACACACACACACACACACACACACACACACACACACACACA